TTAAACTTCATAGCAATTTTTTTGTTCATTCTGACATGAATATGATAGGTTATTGGCATGAATAGACTATGTTGTTTTTGGAAAGCTACGGTAAATCAGAGCGATAAAAGTTAACATTGCGCCAAGTTGTGCTTTTTTAAAAACGAAACTGAGTAGCGCATATGTAGGTGGAGGGCTGTTCTTTTGAAAATTAAGCAAATAAAATACCTTTTCATTTAGCAGTTGAGCTCAGGTCAATGTTGAATTGTAATTACACATTTCCCCTTAGTCTATTCACAGTAGTGATGCTCTTGGCGTTGTTGCTTCACGGAATAGCACACACCCTTGGATCTTTTCCAAGCTCTCTGATATCAAAAGACATTCAGACTATTCATTATTAAGATAATGACATGTTTGGATCACTTTCAACACGCTTTTGTTGAACAGGAAAGTTTGGAAAGGTCTAAATTATGCACATTATTTCTGTCTCCGCTATAGAAATTTTACACACATTTGGGAAAATGAATTTTGTCCATCAGTTTAAGTGGGTTTAAACTGAATGTTAAGAAATAGAAATTTCAAGAGTATGCTAAATAGAAATACAGTGGGGCCAATCTGGGATTAAAACATTTAAAATGTAATTTAAAATAAGCAGAATGTTTTGGCACGTGTGCATATTAATCATTCTAGATCAGATTATGGCTAGATAGATGTGCAGATAATTCAATCTGTAATATTAAGTCATATGCACATGCTAAGAAATTGCACATTATTTCAATTCACTCAAATTGCTAAGCGCATGAATATAAAAATTTGATTGTAAAATAATAAAAAAAAAACCTGTAGTAATCCAGCAGCAGAAATCAGATAAAATCATTTTCAAAACGAAAGTTGTGAGCATCAAACCGTTATGCAACTCTGTTAAGAAAAACCCTTAACATTTCTCTGAGAGTTCAGCTGGATTCGTGTGTGTCCGGTTGTTTATGAGCTGCTAAATAAATTATCAGGTCATGCACCCCTGGCAGACAATTCTACGGGAACAGATGGGAGAAAAACAGTAAAGAATGTGGGAATGATAGAAGTGAAACTGATGCATTTACAAGATAGGGGTGGCGCAAGTACGGTAAGTCTTGGCTTGAAAGTGAAAGTTTGCTCATTTTTTTGTGTATAAATACCTGCACCTGATACCTGCATATCACACCTGTGCACAATTGTCTGCTGATCTTGCGGCGACCAAACACAAAGACAAGAATGCAGACCGCAACAGTAACTCTCCTGGTCATTGCTGCAGTCCTCTGGAGCAACACTGAAGGTAAGAAACATTAAAACACCTAGTTTCATGGAACACATCTTGCAGCTTCTCAGAAGCATCCTGCAGAATTTCAAACTGAAACTTCTTATGAATTCTGTCTGAAGGAAAGTGCCACACTTGGCTTTTTCTATGCTAGCTTGCTTTTCTTAGGGAGTTATAGTAACTGTGGGAGCAAGTTCCCGTAAGTCCAGAAGTGCTCAGAAACAGGCCAAGTTTTGTTTTGCACAGGGTCAAATACATATAGAGTGGAGGGGTTTCCTGTGAAAAGCGTTGCTAATGCCATCCTTTCATTCTCAGCTTTTTCAGACGCAGCTGTGGACTGCTGTCTAACCACCAAGGACACTCGTATTCCAATACAGATTGTTGCATCCTACTTTCACCAAACCACAGAGAGTGGTTGTGCCATTCCAGCTACTGTGTAAGTTCCATTTCAGGTTCTTTATTGGCATCGATGGTTCCTTTAACATCCATGGAGCTACAAAAGGTTCTTTAGATTAGTAAAATGCTCTACTAAAAAAGGGTTCTTTTAAGAACTGTCCACCAAAAGGTTCTACCAAAAATGTTTTTTTTTTATGGCAACCCCCTTTTGTAACCTTTATTTTTAAGAGTTTTGACTTATATTAATGCACGTTTCCTTCTTTCTGTTCCCGTAGATTTATCACAAAAAAGGACAAGAAACTGTGTGCTCCACCAGAGAAAAATGGCTGGATTACCAAGATCATCACACACTTAGACAAGAAGAAGAAAACTTCTCAGTAGGAGCACAGATACAAAAAAAAACTACCCCTCTTCAAACTTTTAGTTCTGCTCTCGTTAGTTCTGTGACATCTCACAGACATCTTCAAAACTAAATCAGACATTTAGCAGAAGTTGTGCAGTTCTTCTTCCTTGAAACCGTTTTCTAGCTCCTGATAACAAAAAAAAAAACATATTCTGGTTTCGTTTTCCTGCCTCACAGATGGGAGCCGAGGATGATGACCTTTGTAACTGCACTGAGCAGCACTGGACAGACAGGAAGTGACTTAATCATTAACTAAAAGTTATTTACAAATTGTTTTGGAAATCATGCAGATTTGGGGAATGCATGGTGGTCAGACTTTGTAAATGATTAAAAGCGGCTATGCTATTTGTTTATATTTGACTGTATTGTTTTACAGTAGCAATTATGAGTCTCATACATTTGCATGAACCATCCTATAAGCTGTGTCTGTATTTTTAGAGCTTCTATTAATGTATGTAGCATGCTTTGTGTGACTGGAATTTTTCTAAGAATGATTTTGAAATAAATTCATTTTGTTAAATCTCCTGTGCGCTGCAATTATTTCATTTAAAACACCTCGCAATTATGGATGTTTGCAGCAATATGCCTTATTCAAAAGTCCTGTTCAAAAATTTGTGCTCAGTAAGATTTTTTATTATTCTTAATCTTTACAGAAGCCTCTAATGCTCACCAAGGCTGCATTTATTTGATAAAAAATACAGTAAAAGCTGTAATTTGTCAAATATTTTTACTCTTTAAAATAAGCATTTTTTTTTGGTGAATGTATTTTAAAATATAATTTATCATATGATGTAAAGCTGAATTTTCAGCAGCATTACTCCAGTATTTAGTGTCACATGATCCTTCAGAAATCATTCTAATATGATGATTTGCTGCTCAAGAAACATTTCTTATTATCAATGTTGAAATCAGTTGTGCTGCTTAATATTTCTTAGAAACCGTCAAACATTTTTGTGAGGATTCTTTTTTGAAATAAAAAAGTCTTTGTAACATCACTTTTGATCAGTTTAATCCATGATTGCCAAATAACAATATTAATCTTTAAAAAAAAATACTGACTCCAGACTTTTGAATGAACCTTTTTCTCATTTAAAATGTACACTGTAAAAAATTACCGTGAATTTAATGGTAAAAGACTGTAAAAATGCTACAGTAAAAACCTGTTAAATGGTTAATGGTAAATTTCCCTACTATATACGGTGAAAAACTGTATTGGAAATTACATGTATTGGACATTAATTGTACGGTAGTATACCGTTTTTGGAAGTGGAAAAATTACAAAGGTACAAAACAGATTTTAGTACTTCAATAGGTTGGTATATAATAAAATTTTATCAGTTAATGAAATTACGGTATTTAACTGTAAATTTAAGTTAAAACCGTAAAGCTTAAAACGTTGCTACCATATTTTTTACGGTAAAATTCCGGCAACCACAGCTGCCGGTTTTCTACCGTAAATTTAACGGATTTTTTTTACAGTGAATCTATCATTAAAGACATCAAACAGAACTTATACACTTCTGCTTGTACAATAAACCCAACAGAATTCACTGTGTGCTTTCCAATCACACACATGCACAAATAATAATTAACTTTGTGACACTGAGTAAACATTAACAGTAGTTACGTAATATATATTTTTTTTAACCCAGTGGAATCCCCAGTTTTGTGTTGACATCGAGAAGCTGACCAAACGGTTTGTCAACTGTAAAAATGCTACAGTAAAATCCTGTTAAATGGTTAACGGTAAATTCCCCTACTATATACGGTGAAAAACTGTATTGGACATTACATGTATTGGACATTAATTTTACGGTAGTATACCGTTTTTGGAAGTGAAAAAGACCGTATCATTTACAGTGAATAACCGTAAATTGACATTCCCAGAATTCCCTGTGTTACATTTCAAATTTGATGTTTTTTTGTTGAAATAACTTATGTTTCTTTTTAGTTTTTTCTTATCAGTTTTGTATATTAGGGTTGTGTGTTACACCTAATGTTGTTAAATTAATGTTTATTGCATTATTTCAGTTTCATGTGTGTTACCATGATGGTGTTTGGTGTTTGTGTGAATGACACTGTGCACCTTCTATATATGTTATTATTTAAAAGCTGCTTGTGATAGGCTTTGGTTCATCGTGTGACTTTCTCATCACCACCTGCATTTGGTGGTTATCAGTGTATTACAAAGGTACAAAACAGATTTTAGTACTTCAATAGGTTGGTATATAATAAAATGTTATCAGTTAATGAAATTACGGTATTTAACTGTAAATTTAAGTTAAAACCGTAAAACCTAAAACGTTGCTACCGTATTTTTTACGGTAAAATTCCGGCAACCACAGCTGCCGGTTTTCTACCGTAAATTTAACGGATTTTTTTTACAGTGAATCTATCATTAAAGACATCAAACAGAACTTATACACTTCTGCTTGTACAATAAACCCAACAGAATTCACTGTGTGCTTTCCAATCACACACATGCACAAATAATAATTAACTTTGTGACACTGAGTAAACATTAACAGTAGTTACGTAATATATATTTTTTTAACCCAGTGGAATCCCCAGTTTTGTGTTGACATCGAGAAGCCGACCAAACGGTTTGTCAGGTTTATCTGAACTGCTTCTTCAGTCATATCGAAACATTTGCCAGTCTGGTGGCCTTTGAGTGAGAAAGTATGTGAGAGTCTGTGAGAGTTTCTATGTGGGTTCAAGCGGAGAAGAGGAAAAGAGAGCGAGGAACAGATACACAGAATGTGATGCATTGTGCCGTAAATTCGGCCCTCCTTCAAAAAAAAAAAGTCTTTTGTCCAGGTCACAACCTCTGCTGCTCTGACATTTATTTTTTGCAGTACAGGGGAGGGACTATGATAAACGTCTGTGTAATAATGAAACTTATGACCGTCCTATAAAGCAGGGGAGCGATGGAGCCGTGAGAGGAGAGTGTCAGAGAAGAGACAAAGATCCTCCAGCTGCTTCAGCAGGACAGACAAGACACTTGTTCCTCCATCTCATCTCCTGTTGCGGTTACCATGGCTTCAGCCCTCATATCTGCGCTGAGTGTGCTTCTCTGTGCGTTGGCACTCATTCTCTACAGCAGTCCGGCAGGTAAGTCATGTTTTCTTCCTTCATCTGTTTTATGTGCTTCATGAGTGCATGGTGTATGTGATCTATTTGTTCATTTATTTCTCATTTATTTCTTCTTATCCTTTATATATGATAGCAGATGTGTAACATCTCAACAATTCTAGTTAGTAATCTTTTAATAATTTTTCAGATTAACTAGAATGAGCTTTTTATTTGTAGTTAGTTATTACTCCCACTAGTTTCCAGCTGTGCATCGCACGTGTTTCGCTTTACTGCAAACTATATATTTGTGCCAAGACACTTTCTTTTTTCTTACAGATGTTTTCAGACTACTCTTGAAGCAGACACCCATTCTCCTGTATTTCCATCTCTTGTCCCTTATCGTTTTTTTATTTCTCTTTTGTCTCAATCTCTCTCAGAGGCTCAGGCAGACTTAGCATTGGACTGTTGCCTGACGGTTAGCCACAAAGTCATCCCTAAACATGTCCTCCTCACTTACCGGAAGCAGTTCAGAGTTGACGGCTGCCCCCGAGATGCTGTTGTGTAAGTATATTCCTCAAAGGAAACTATTGGACTGGCTCATGTGTGGGAGCCTGGGAGTGAATTCAACTAATTATGATCACATTTTCAAAAAAGGAGATGTGAAAGAGCCTATTTAATGGGGAATTCCATTGCGCTCAACATAACAATGCTTGGATTGTCTACTGTTCTAGTCAAATAATGTGCAAAAATCAACTCCCTTTCAGATTCATAACAAGGAAAGATTTGAATCTTTGTGCCCCACCTGCAGCGGAAGAGCACTGGGTTAAAGAGACGATCAAGTTTCTGGACACTAGGCTCAAGAAGTGCAAAGCAACCAAATTTCATGTATGTAATTCACCGCAGATTCATCACAGCTTCACAGTTTTGTTTCCTCAGACATCTTCTGTAGTATCTGATGACATAAAGCTGGTTGCACAACAGCTCGTCATTGTTATTGCACAAGCCCTGCAGCAGGTCACTTTCTCCTTTCTGGTTTTCATCTGACTCATGACATTGTTTATGTGTAGTAGATCACGATTCGGATGTTATAGTCTTACTCATACAAAACCACAAACTATTCAGCTGTGAAACCACAAGCCAAAACATCCTCCTACGGCAAAGCTTTAAAGGGAAAATTCTGTCATCATTTACTCACCCTCATGTCGTTCCAAACCTGTATGAGTTGCTTTCTTATGTCGAACATAAAAGAAGATATTTTGAAGATTGCTGGTAATCAAACAGTTGGTGGTTGCCATTGACTTCCATAGTAGGAAAAAAAAAATACTATGGAAGTCAATGGCAACCACCTCCCGCCGCATTAATGGTAGGTTTATGTAGTATTGAGGGGCAAAAGTTAAATCTCTGTCTTCATTTTGATTAGGAGTTAGAATCAGCAACATGGACAATGTGGGGCAACATGGAAAGAATTTACAGCAGTAAACAAGCATCAACACAACATGCAATTAACTTGTAAAATCCCCGTTGAAATATCAGGAAAATGAAATCTGTGTTATTAACCTTTAGTCCAGACAACCTGTCATTAAGCAGGGTGTGATGATCACCTACGCATCACGTTTTTGTGCATGACTGAAATTCCCCCACTGTTTTCCTGTTTAGCCTTGTCAGGAAAATAGTTTGTACAGAAATTTATATGAGCTGCAGAACTTGCCCAGGGCAAGTTTAGTGGTCTTTTAGGGGATAACTTAGTAAAATGAGAAATTAGTTTCCTTTCTGTTTGCAATATTTCTACACAAGTTTGAATAGCAGTAGCTTTAGAGTTTAATAGAGCATTCAGACAGTCAGTAATCAGTACTGTAGGTTCTTTTTCTAAGGAATTTAAAAAAGGTTTTTATTTCAAATAAATTATGTTCTTTTGAACTTTCTATTTATCAATAGAAATTTATCAACAATCTAATTTATCAACAATCTTGAAAAGATAAACGTATTACAGTTTCCACTAAAATATAAAGCAGCACAACCTTTTTTTTTTACATTGATAATAATAAGAAATGTTTCTTGAGCAGCAAATCAGCATATTAGAGTGATTTCTGAAGGTTCATGTAAGACTGAAGTAATTAGTGATGCTGAAAATTCAGCTTTGCATCACAGAAATAAATTACATTTAAAATATATTAAAATAAAAGAAAATTACATTAAATTGTAATAATATTTCACAATATTACTGTTTTTACTGTATTGTTGATCAAATAAATGCTGTTTTGGTGAGTTCTTAGACAATACACTTAAACAGACCAGTAGTATGAATTCAATAAATATCTTGTCATGCAAGATTTTTAATGAGATGGCTTTATTATAACATCCCACAAAACAGGGTAATAATATTATTCATAATACTTTTCCTTTTAAATTACCCTTTAAATTGTAATGTTTGCTTCAGCTCATAGCATGGAATGGATCTGATTTTAAAAAAAGGTTTATCTATTGTTCTTATAAAATCTAGATGTCGTCATAATTCATCCGGTTGACTTGATGGGAATATCCCTGACATTCAAGTTTGACAAACTGCAATGACATACCACTTACATGATGTTTCCCCAGGCGAGTGTGACATACGCTGCTGTTGTGACCAGGTAATAATAAAAGCATAGACAGCTGGATATCTGTTTCTAATATAGCAATCCTTTTCATTGGCATTCTGCTGTTTGCTCTTTGCTAAGCCCCACGTTAATGATCAGTCTTGTATAAACGTTGCGTACGCACAAAATGGGCATAGAAATGTGCGTATGCTGTTTTCCACGCATGCATTTGGATTTATAAAAAAAAAACTTGGCGTAAATACTGTATGTGCGCACCGTACAGATGCTCTTGACTGTGCGTACGCACTCTTTTTTCTGGAGAGAGAAAAGTAATGAAGTAAACAAGGATTTTAAACTCTGTTCTCATTTTGATATACACATTTACTCTCATTAATGGAGATAAGCACTGAAATGACCTAAAGTCATTACGCAGAAGTTAAACAAAAATTCTATGAATTTAGACACATTTATAGTGGATGCGCTTGATCACTTTTCCTGTGGCTATGTTCTAATGACAGCAAGGAGTGCAATAGGTGCACAATAATTCATCTTTAAACTAAACTGCAGATCTCATGTTATGAGAAAATATAAATATTTAGCGAGAACAATGATCAATAATGCGCACTTATGGTGCGTGGACACTGCTGGATTCGGTGGTCGAACGGTCCATTGTCCGGTTTGAATATGTCCAATGATAATAGCTTACTGTACAACCGCAGCTGCACGGTGGTTGATGTTGTGTGTAGGCATCTCCACAACATTATGAAAAATACCACTGTATTTGAAGAATACAACTTAAGGAAAATGGTAAGATTTACACGTTTCCTTTTTAAAATGTCAGTGACGCGCCGAGTCAGACAATTGTATTTACACTGGCCTATCGGTTTTCACTAAAAATAGCTAAAAGATGTTCACCTTATCAGCAAAACTGCATAAATTTAATTTGATTTGAATTGTTTAAAACAACTGAAATACTATTTGGCCAGTGTAAAACAATGAGATCAACTCTATTCTAAAATATATATCTGATAACCATTTTGTTTTTATGGATATTTTGATATATTTATTCTAAAACATAACAAGGATATTGGATGATTAAACAATGAGATCAACTCTATTCTAAAATATATATCTGATAACCATTTTGTTTTTATGGATATTTTGATATATTTATTCTTAACATGGTGTCACGTGGATGGGAATATGCATGGAAATGATATGCATTATGCAGATGAGGTTATGCATCGTAAAACTAGGCGTTGTAAGCTCCATATATGGTGATTTCAGGGAGGAGACGGGGTGGAGATGCACGTACGCACAACTGTCCCCTGACTTCGATTATAAAGGGATTTTTGCACAGGTTCTGGCGTACGCATGCTTTTACAAATCTGAAAACTTTTGTGCGTATGTAAAATCTAGCTTTTGTGCGTACGAACACTTTTAGGATGAAGTCTACGGAGAGTTTTATAAATGTGACCCTGGACCACAAAACCAGTCATAATGGTCAATTTTGTGAAATTGAGATTTTTTACCTAATTTTAAATCTAAATAAATAAGCTTTCCATTGATGTATGGTTTGTTAGGATAGGACAATATTTGTGGTAGGTTATCTTATAATTTTGACCCATACAATGTATTGTTGGCTACAAATATACCCCAGTGGTTTTGTGGTCCAGGGTCACAAATGAGGCCCCTGGTTTAGCAACTTTTACTGCATAGTTTAATAATTTTATTAAAACAATTACTTGCTGTGTCACAATTCATTCCAGCCCAACAATAGAAGCAACCAGACGAACGAGAGAGCAACAGTATACAAGTGCTGTGACAAGTCTCTGTTAGTCTAGCACAGTACACAGTAAATATTTCATAAAGCTGATCTGAGTGGGAAATATTAACATAGGGGAATCAGGAAGTCTAAGGTTTTCTATGAGTGTTTTTTTTTTTTTTTCAGGACTGTACTCAAGAAGTTCTGGGGTTGTTTGCGACTCAGTGTCTTCCTGGACCTTTCGGCGGAAGTTTCAGTCCTGTTCCAGAGTATCAGTGCTCAGCTCAGTCCTCTGAAAATGACCCTGATTGGTTCCCCTTCCTCTGTGTCGCCTCCCCCTCGGACAACAACCCCTTTCTGGGACTTTTCTACAATGGTGGGACAGTGTAAGGAAAGAGGAAGTTTTGTTTATGTCTAAATTCATGTATTATTACACTTACTGAAAAATGTACAAAAGTTTTGGGTTGGTAAGAAAGAAGTTTTTTCTGCTCACCAAGGCTTTATTTTTTAATCAAAATACATTGATATTGTGAAATATTATTATTATTATTTGAAATAATGCTTTTCTGTTTTATATATAAAATTGTAATTCATTCCTGTGAGGGCAAAGCTGAATATACAGCAGCTATTACTCCAGTCTTCAGTGTCACATGATCCTTCAGAAATCATTCTAATATGCTGGTTTAGTACTCAACAAACATTTCTTGTGATTAATCAGGATTCTTTGATGAACAGAAATTTCAAAAGAACTATATAATGCATATCATTCATTCTTGCTTAATAAAAGTGCTAATTAAAAATTACTGATCCCAAAATGTTTGGTGATTTTCTACATTTGCATGTGTTTTTACAGCTCTCCAAAGCCCAGTCCATCATTCCAAGCCCTGCAGATGACAGCTCCTGTACCTCCCATTAACTACCGCCAGGGGGATCCAATATTCACTAAGGATGACCAATACTTCACCATCCCACAGGTTAAATGCTGCAACATTGCTAGTGCAAGTATCAATTTATATGAGTGTGCACATTCATGCATGTGATATGCATATGAATCCCAGTTGTCTTGTGAGCAGAACTCTGGACTGGGCCAGTGTGCGGAAAATGCTCCAGTGGCGTTTTTGGAAAACTTTGAGTCTCAGTGCGTGAGGAGGCTGCAGTCCTGTCCACCACCTTCTGATGACCTGAGAGTGGATATTAAAGATGGATGGGGAGGTAGCGATACAGTATAACAGTTTTCTTTCCTATCCTCCTTTTATTATCGCAACCAAACACAAGGACATCAACCACAGATTACAATATGATACATTATGCCATTGATACCAACTGTTCTTATCGGTCCTGTAACAACTCAAGGTTCAAATGTATTTACAAAGGTTTTGCAAAAAGATGCATGAAATTCCTGAACCTGCATAACCAAAAAAGTATCCATATATGATAAAACATTCTGAAGAGAAAAAATTCTAATGTCACATGCAATTTATCAGTGTTTTAAAATGCAACATTACACTTTTAAGGGATAGTGTGTTTATGGTATACCCTCAATAATATGCTGTAGATATGTAAATCTAGCTTACGACTATTGATCGTATTATTGTCTTTCTGTGCAGGCATGCAAATATGCATAGACTGTTCATATGTTTGCATACGTTCCAGGTATCGTCACAGTCAGTGTTGTGAATGAAATGGCCGATGACCTCAGATTATTTCTGGCTAATTCTCGTGAGCCTATATCTGGTCAGTTGCATGAACATTTCCAGCAGTCATTTATTTAATACTAAGTATATTCAATATTACATAAAAAAAAAAATGCGTGGAGTATGTTTTATAAAAAACAATTATGGATCATGTGACACTGAAGACTAGAGTAATGATGCTGAAAATTCAGCCTTGCATCACATGGTAAATGATACTTTAAATGTAGTTAAATAGAAAACAATTATTTTAAATAATAATATTTTACAGTATTTTTGTGTTTACTCTATGTGATGAAATAAATGCAGTCTTGGTGATCTTTAAAAGAACCCAAACCTTTGAATGGTAGTGTACATAGCAAATAATAATACAGAAAGTATTACTATCATTTCTCTTTTAGTACCATTGTTGTCAAGATTGACATGAAGTGTAAAGTTGGAAAACTTTTCATTGTGTAATTATTATTATTATTTTTTTTTTTTAAGTGTCACAACAGTGTGGTAATGTTGTTGTGGCCTTGCGTTACACTCTTTACTGGAGAGAGAACGGCCTCACTGCCATTACTGTGACACGGACCACTGCGAACATCACTGTACCTGGTGAGTCTCACAATATGACACACCTCTTCACTGCACCTGTTTTCTTATGCACTCCCTATCATTTTTCTCTCTTTCTCTTTTGCCTCCCGTCTAGTATCTTTGACCAGAAGATACTCTGCAGTGTTTGTGAACGGAAATGAAACATCTCAGTCGAATTCTGGCAATCCAGGTTAAAGGAACTCCCATGATTCATCAGTTTGAGATGCTCAGGGACATTATATTAAGTCAGGAAAGGAGTTATCATGCATTACACTTTTTTTCCCTAATGTTTGTACAGGTTACCAGGTGAAGAGGCCAGTGATTGGTGGTATTTTGGACTCTGATACAGAAGATATACAGAGGGCCCAGATCAATCTCTGGCAACCAGGTAGTGCAGCTAATGCATATTCATCAATATAAAACTACTACCAAAAAAAAAACATTAGTTTGATCCTGTGCTGTGTCCTCCGCAGGTGGAGATGGCCTGTGCTCCTCTGCTGAACTGAGACCAGCTCTGTTTGGGATCAACTCCACATCAGGCTGTATGATTCCTGCGAGTTTGCTGAATATGACGCAGTGCAGTCAGTTGAGGTGAATAACACTGCTGAAGGGTTTTGAGCACAATACAATAGATTCCTGTAGAAGAGTTTCATCTGAAAAGGCTTCTTTTGTGTGTGGTTTCACAGAGAAACAGTGCGTGGTGTCCTTGCTGGATTAGTGCCTGCTACACTCGTCTCCACAACAGGAAAACCAAACTTTACCAACCTATCAGACTGGGTCAACATTACTAGTGAGCACTACATCGTACAATTATCTGTAATATGTGACCCTGGACCACAAAACCAGTCATAAGGGTAAATTTCTCGAAATTGAGATGTATACATCACCTGAAAGCTGAATAAATAAGATCTCCATTGATGTATGGTTTGTTAGGATAGGACAATATTTGGCCGAGATACAACTATTTGAATATCTGGAATCTGAGAGTGCAAAAAAATCAAAATACTGAGAAAATCGCCTTTAAAGTTGTCCAAATGAAGTTCTTAGCAATGCATATTACTAATCAAAAATGAAGTTTTGATATATTTACGGTAGGAAATTTGCAAAATATCTTCATGTAACATGATCTTTACTTAATATCCTAATGATTTTTGGCATAAAAGAAAAACTGATAATTTTGACCCCATACAATGTTTTTTTTGGTTATTGCTAAAAATATACCCAAGCGACTTAAGACTGGTTTTGTGGTCCAGGGTCACATATGTATAATATATGAAACTGTTTTAGAGTCTAGTTATACTTTGTCTTATAAAATGTGTAGTTGCAGCTTTAAATTTTGATCAGGCTGAACACTACCGGTCAAATGTTTGGAATAATTTTTTAAAAAGCATTTTCATTTACATGCACACCAAATCTGCATTTATTTGATCAAACATACAGTAGTATTGTAAAGTATTATTACAATTTAAAATAACTTTTTTATTTTCATCTAATTTGAAGCATAATTTAATCCTGTGATTCAAAGCTGAATTTTTAGTATCATTACTCCAGTCTTCAGTGTCACAATATCCTTCAGAAATTATTCTAATATGCTGATTTGGTGTTCATTTGTTACAAGTTATTATAGGTGTCCACTGTTCAATTATTATAGTTTTTTTTATTATTATCAGTGTAGAAAACTGTTTTTGCGGCTTAGTATTTTTGCAGAAACTGATGGATTTTTTTCAGGAGGAATAGAAATTTCAGAAGAAAATTTATTTTATTTGTAAATACCTTTACTGTCATTTCTGATCAATTTAATGTGTTTTCGCTGTATGAAATTATTCATTTCTTTAAAAAAAAAAAAAAAACAATCTTACCCCAAACTTTTGAATGGTACTGTTTCATGGTTTCCACAAAAATATTAAGCAACAAAATTGTTTTGAACATTGATAATAATAGGAAATGTTTCTAGAATGATTAAGACTGCACTAATGATGCTGAACATTCATCTTTGTCATCATAGGAATAAATTAGATTTTAAAATGATATGTTCCAATAGAAAACATTTTAAATCGCAATATTATTTCACAATATTACTGTATTTTTGATCAAAGTAAATGCAGCCTTAATGAGCAGAAGAGACTTCTTTCAAAAACATCAAAAATGCACCTGAAAAAGCTGACTACTGCTTTAAGTGATTGAATGAAAACTATTCTTGCTCTTGTATTTCAGCTTCAGTGCAGAACTCCAGTCAGCCAGCAGAGAGCAGCACTGGAGAGTGCTCAGCTGTTCCCACCCACCTCCACATCCATGTGTGGAGCGGCATCATGGGAAGTGTGCAGGGTGTGCCTCAGACGTTCATCCAGGCAGTGGAGATTAGGTACAGCACTGCTTCATTCAGACTTGTATTGCTCTTATCATCTCACTTTCCTGATAACAAACATGATAGCTTTTCATTAATGTTTGAGCGTGATGTCTAGATGCATATACAGACTTGTGATACTTTGAGAACGTTCTGTTTTGCATTTACTCTTTTTCCTATTTTCAGTTTCATAGAAACAACATGGAGGATAGAGTGTGGTATGGGCAGGGTGAACCCATGTTTAAACCCAGAGCTAATGCAAAATTTCCCTGTGACCTCGTCTGTGACCTTTACTGACAATCCTCTTATTATGCAACCCCCTAGATCCAGGTGGGTCCTACACGCACACATATAAGTGAGATTACTGTATAGATACAGTTGCATTTTAATTTCCAAATGTATTTGTTTACAGTTTCAATTTAACTCTGAAGTTTTATTCGGGTATCTTCTCTGCTGCAGGTTCAGTATTAACTTCACCGAGTTTGACTGTGACAGGAACGATGTGTGCTGGCCCGAGCTGGCCTTCCCTCTCACGAGATACTATACTGGTGAGGGCTTGGGTTTCTTATGGTTACTAATAGAATGAGACCGAAATAACCTTAAACTCTGTTCTGTTGAAAGAGTCAGCAAAACTTAATGTACTATATCATTTTTTTTTTATCATGTGCTGGAGTCTGTGCTGAAGTTGTAGCACATTCTTAAAATAAGTTATCGCTCATGTTTTGGTATATTTGAATGGGTGATGTGAAATATGAAGCACTAACGGTAGTCTCCTGCAGTGTGACATGCTAGATAGACCTCATCTACAACTATTTTAAACATAATTTTTGTAATTCTTGTGTAGGCAGTTGTTATGAGCTCATATTTGGGGACAACAAAATATTTATGCTTTAAAAATGTAATTATTCACACTGCAGAACTGTTTAGGTGAGCTGCACAGCACCTAAACATACAGTTTCTCTTTCGCAAAAAATGTATACATTTTAACCTAAAACCTTAATTCAGTCTTAAATTATGAATTATGAATTTGACTTTTTGTTTTTTTGCAGGTGAGCCGTATTCCCAGGCTCTGGCTAAAGGTCTCGTTCTAGTGTTCTTCTTCATTGCTGCGTCTGTTTTAGGAACACCATGGAGACAAATCAGACAGGCATGGAATAGTGCTTCATTATGAAAGAACGCAAGACAAAATGATCTATCAAATAGAATTTGATATGCAATGGTAAATAGCTGTAAAGATATTATTTATTTTCCTTTTCTGGTTTGTACATTTTTTTAATGAATTATTTATTATGTTTTGAAAACTTTTGTAGGTCACATTTATTATGTACAAAGAACTTTTGTACTTTTTTTTTTAAATTAAATATTGAATACAAAATAAAAAATGTATATATTTCATATGTAAAAACAATGTTTTGTTTCTTACACTCCTATATATGTAACAAACTATCACATATAATAATAGTAACTAATAATGATAATAATAATAGCAACAACACCAATATTAATTATTTATAATATCATTTTTATAAGTAAAAACACTATTTAGTTTCATACATTATGATATATGTAACAAACTATCACATAATAATAATAATTGTTATTATTATTATTTTGTTTTCTCCACTAATATATTTAACAAACTATCACTATATAGTAACTAATAATAATAATAAGCAACACTAAACATACTGTTGTTATTGTTTGTAAAACCAATGTTTTGTTTCTTCCACTACTATATATTATGTAACAATATTGTATATAATAATAATAATAGTAACTAATAATAATTGCAGCAATAATATTAATAATTATTATAAAACAATTACATGTATTCTACTACGGTATATATTGCATATATTATTATTATTTTTATTTTGTTTCTTCCACTAATATGTAACAAACAATCACTATATAGAACTAATAATAATAATAACAACAGCAACAGTATAATAATTAATATTATTATTGTTTTATATGTAAAATCATTGTCTTGTTTCTTCCACTAATAAGTAACAAACAATCACTATATAGAACTAATAATAATAATAACAACCGCAACAGTATAATAATTAATATTATTATTGTTTTATATGTAAAATCATTGTCTTGTTTCTTCCACTACTGTATTTATAACAAATAATAATAGTAGTAGTAGTAGCTAATAATAATAATCCACTAAAATAAGTCCACTAAAACTACTAATAATAATAATAGTAACTAATAAGAATTGCAGCAATACTATTAACAATTATTATAAAACAATTACATGTATTCTACTATATATGTAACAAACTATTGCATATATTATTATTATTTTTATTTTTGTTTCTTCCACTAATGTAACAAACAATCACTATATAGAACTTATAATAATAATAACAGCAACAACAATAATACTTTTTCATATTATTATTTGTATTGTTTTATATGTAAAAACATTGTTTCTTCCACTACTGTATTTATAACAACAACAAAAAAAGCTAATAATAACAATCCACTAAAATAAGTCCACTAAAATAATATATGTAGCAAACTATCACGTATACTACTACTACTAGTAATAATAATATTAATAATTACATAACACATATACATAATCTATCACATATCTTGATGTGATAGATTATGCATTAATTTCATAAACCGTATAATATGGATGATTGCTCCCGCAGCGCCCCCAGCGGTAGAGACGCAGCGCAGCTAGTGGGAGGGACATGAAACATCATTGAGCGCTCGGCTCGCAGTCTCTCTCAGTCTCTTGAGTCTAGCTGCTTTTTAGACAGTACTGGTGTACTCGTGAAGACATGAGCGGACGAGTTGGAGATCTGAGCGTGAAACAAGCCGAAGCTTTGGCTCAGGTGAATTATTATTCTTTTATTTCTCGCAAGAGTATGTCGTGGATTTAATTGCTCCGGGTTTTTGGAATGAAACATTCTCCCGGTCAGAGAGGCCACACACTCACCGCAGATGAAAACAGACGAATCACACTCGTTCTGAATGCAGAATCAATAGACTTTCGTAAGAGTACAAAAGTGTTAGTTAATTGCTCTTTTGCTAAGTTGTGTAAAGCACGTAACTGCTCAAGTTTGCAGTGTTGCCAGCACGTGAGTTGATGTACATGTGCAACTTCTTACAGTGATATTGCATAATTATTAATCTGTTTTTTTTTGTTTTTTTTTAAAGTTTCGAGAGAATGTTAAGAATATTCTACCCCAGTGTCCATCCCAGAGTGACCACTTTCTGCTCCGATGGCTGAGAGGTGAGCTACTTCACTCACATTCATAATGCACAATGAACAATTAGTAGGTTAAATATAAATTTTCTGCTTAAGTTCTTGTTGAATGAAAGAGAGAGAGAAACTCCCTCTGTTCTATACTAATATATACATAAATTATTATTTTTTTTTAGTTTGAGAACAGTCTCTGTTTCATAGATATCAATATTATGACAGGCATTGATAAGCTTAATTAATGTAAAAGAATGTGCATGACCTATAGATTGAGGAATGACTCTATTAATCTATAATGACAACTATTAAATCAAATCTTCTAAACTGATACTGCCTAAAGAATAGAATTGTATAGAATGATAAAATGTTTTATAAAGCGATCATGTCTATAGAATAGAGGCACAAAATACAATTTGTTAAATAGAACCAAATAGAATGACACTATGTATAGAGTCGAATCTTGCAGAACGATTTGGCATATATAATATATCCCCCCGGTTTCACAGACAAGGCTTAAGCCTAGTCCTAGACTAAAATGTAAATCTGAGCTGTTTCAGCTGAAAGAAACTTGCACTGACTGATCTTAAAACATGTCAGTGCCTTTGTTTTGTCTTAAGATGCACACCAGTAATGCTTTTTTCTAAGGCATGTTTATAAAAATTACTTAAATGTCCTAATTGAACTATGGCCTAATCCTGGCTTAGACTAAGCCCTGTCTGTGAAACCGGGCCATAATGTCATAGAATAGAATCTCATGGAATGATACAGTCTGTAGAATAGAATCATAGGTTTCACACGAGATTCTAGAAAGAGACGACATGTCCTGTACTGACTCCTGTTCAGACAGTATGAATCAGTGTAATCGGATCAATGCTGCGTGTATCTCTGCAGTCAGGAACGGCGAGGACGAGTTCAGAGAGTCCTGGAACTCACAATACACGATCGATTCGGCCTTCACGCATTGTTATGGTTAGAAATGTTCTAAATTGTAAGTTATTTGAATCTTTATGGCGATTTCATTTAGAAAGCGCACACTGAAAAAGAAAAGGTGTTTGGGGTTCAGATTTAACTGGAGCGTTAGTTAAGTTTAATATTTAAGTTCCTCTAAGTTTATCTTTTGTTCCTCTGTTGAAAGTTTTCTGCTAAATGTATATGGTCTCTAAACTTTTAGCTGACCCTCTATAGAGTGGCGTTTGGACTGTTCTTGTGGCTGTTCTTGGGTTTTGACAAAGGTTGTTTTGTGTTTCTGAATGCAGCCAGTCTTCTGCAGGGATTTCTAGGCACCAGACAGAGACTAGCAGCACAGATTTTATGCAGGACTACTGATGGAATTGCTTAATTAGTATATTCATGTAAACAGTGACGCCATCTAGCATGCATGATGGAAGCTCGAGAATGTCATTAATCATGACTCTGAATGTTTTTCTCTAAGTGATCTGGGTTATTCATATATGTACTTCTGCATACCAGTATTATAATTTTTGTGCTGCGTTAGAGACTGTTGACACATGCACATTTCGTTATTAAAGGCTGTAGCACCTCGCAAGTGTTGATAAGATAAACACCCGATTGTGAAACACGTCATTGAGGGTCTGCAGTGATGTGATATGAGTTCACTGCTGTATAAGTTTGAGTGCACGGGTGCTGTAGTTCATGCGTATACATACATGCGCATACATACTGTTCAAAGGTTTAGGATCAGTAAGTTTTATTTATTTGTTTTTTTGTAGGAAATTAACACTTTTTGTTAAGCGAGGATGCTTAAATTGATCCATAGTGACAAGACTTTATTTTATAGCTACAACAAATTTCTATTTCATTTTAAAATCTATTACAATTGAAAACAGTTATTTTAAATTGTAATAATATTTCACAATATTACAGTTTTTACTGTATTTTTGATCAAATAAACAGCCTTTGTGACTTCTTTTAAAAACAGAAAATACATCACCATCTGAAACGTTGACTACTACTTGAAATGCCACTGAATATATAATCATAATGTAACAGCATAATAATACAAGAAGGCCTACACACTTCCAAATGACAACAAACTTTTAATTTTTAAGAATATTTAGATCATGGAAATTAAGTAGCCATATCTGCAGATTAAACTTTTTTTTGTAGAAGCACTTTTTAATTTTGAACTAGCACCTCATGACTACACCACGTTATGTACGAGAAGAGTGGTAGTGTATGTAACTTGCTAAATAAGTCAAATATCACTTTTAGTTTTGCTTGTACTAATAGGAATTTATACAAAGCCTTAACCTCAATGTGCGTAACTCATCCTGCACTATTTGTGCAACAAACACAAGCATTATCTGTTACTTTTTCCAAGCGATTAGACACATTGGCTTAATTGTGGACAATAAAATGGGTGAAAAAATCTCACAGACTCATTGAAGCCCTATCTAGTGACCAGAATGTCATAGAGATATCAAGAAACTTGGGGATGAGCCAGTAACAAACACCTAGCAACTACCCAGAACACACTGGCAACCGCATTAGCAACATTCTAAAAAAACACCAACACACCCTTGCAACCACCCAAATCATTGTAACATAATGGCGGTGATTTCTGATTTCTGCACAGGCAAATTCACATTTGCTTCAGATATAAACATACTATGAATAAAAAAATAGACTTTGTTTGATCTATTTTTACATGGAATTTTTTTTTCATTTGATTTTTTTTTTTACATATATATATATATATATATATTACATTATATTGTGTATGTATATATATATATATATATATATATATAATATGTTATATTAAAAATAATTAATAATCATAGTAAGAATTTGTATAAATACAATTAGGGCTGCACAATTAATCGAATTTCTAATCGCGATTACAATTATGGATGCCACAATTACGTAATCGTTCAAAGCGGCAATTAATCGTTCAAAGTCCACTTATGTTATATTGCACGCTTAAGATATGTTTTTTTCTTTCTACATGTTATCTTAAGGGTTTTTCCATTGTTTTAGTTTTAGTTTTAGTATAACATTATAAACATTCATATT